TATGGATAACAAGCCATAGTGCAACTACTTATGCATTTAAACATGTAAATTTATATTGTAAATCTTAATTAATTTTTATCAAACAATTATTTTAATTAGATAATGGACTACATGCAGTTTATTTTGTAAAAATAACTTAAATACCTTTAATTTTGTTTTTACATTATTTTATTAAATGTATTTAAATAATTTTACAAGCAAATTACATACAATTCACCTGTAAAAACAATTTTTTCAATTTTTATAAACCTTTTCTCTAAACTTTAGTGACGAAGTTAGTACAAGAATGACTATGAACGTTTCTTTGCAAAGTTAGAGGAATGACTTTACGAGGGCAAATGGGAGTGTAGGAGGACGATCCTAATCAATTCCTTAGTAAGAGGGTTTATTGGCTTTAACCCAATAAAGTTCCAATCTTCCACTGTGATTTCGACGCTAAATATACGAGACCGGCCACGTTTCCCATCATTCACATTTTCTTTCTCTTTGCACAAACATGGATGCCGAATACGGAAGAGAGAATAAAAGAGTCAACCTTGCAGATGATCCTTCGAGCAGAGCGATGGTTCAGATAGATCTTCATCGTCTCCCACGGAGGATTCTACTCGATATCCTATCAAGACTACCGATCACCTCTCTGATCCACTTCAAGACCACTTCCCACATCGGCTATGGTATAATTGACGATCCAAGACTCCCTCCGCTGTTCCGCAACCGGGTAAGCGACTCAAACCCATGTCTGATTCTGTTCGAGAACAATGTCCCCCAGCGACTCTGTTTTGTGGATAGTGAGGATTGTAGTCGAAGGGTTAGGAAAATCGACCCACCACAGCATTCAGAAGTTAAAAACCTGGTGGGTTCTTGCAACGGGCTTTTATGCGTATCCTATCCCATAAGCGACCCTCTCTTATTCAGTGTTTCACACGAGACTGGCAGTCTGCTAATTTACAATCCTTTTGTTGGAGACGCTGTGAGAGTCCAGGCAGCGGACGACCCATTTTTGAGTCAATATGAAGTCTTTGGCTTTGGGTTTCATCCGAGGACAGGAGAATTCAAAGTGGTCAGGATTGTGTACTATCAGAGGATGATTATAGTAGAAAAACGGCATGTAGTAATCGGCACCGTTGAAGAATCAATGGTTCAGGTGTTTACCGTAGGAACAACAGAGTGGAGAAACAAAGGAGCTCCGCCTCCACAATTGGGGTTTGGAACCGATCCACCTGGGGCTCTGGTTGAAGGATCTCTCCATTGCTCGACTCCGTTTAAGATGGGAGGAGTCGGATATATCTTTGGCATTATCTCCTTCGACCTTGCAGATGAGGTGTTCGAAGAAATTCCGCACCCACCTTGTCAACGATTTGTGTCACGTGACTACAATCTTTCCGTGCTCAATGGGTGTCTATCGGCTGTTGGGTTACTTGAAGCTGGGCATTTTGATATCTGGGTGATGAAGCAATACCATGTTAAGGAATCTTGGGTAAAACAATTCTCCTTTGATCCCGATTTAACTCGTGGATTGCTAGTTAATTCTTTAAGCCCAGGTGATAGCAGACTTCTGAAGCTTATATGTGCACTGAAGAATGGGGAGATTCTGTTGCAGTGTAACAGCAGTTCTCTGGTTTCTTATGATCCTGTAGAAAACAGATTCAAGACTCTTCAACTAAGTGGGTTATCCAATGAGTTCCAAGCACTTCCTTTTCTACCTTCTCTTTTCTCAGCAGATGCAACCATGAATTTGCTATTTTAACTTCTTCCTCTTCTTCTTTTTTTTTTTTTTCTTCTGTAAGACTCTACTACTACTTGTTTTAGTTAGTGTTGAATCTTTGATCATCAAGCAATCATATGATAATGTCTATCTTCTCGTCAAATGCTTTATTTTATTGGTTAAGTTTTATGATCAAACCCAATCCAAAAAAATCTGACCTCTACCATGCCTCCTGTGGTGTAATGAGTTAATCAAAATTCAGCGCATCAGCGACAGCACTGACGTTGTAGCCATGAATGATTTGGTTTTAACTACAATTTTATCGATTTGTAATTTTTTCTTAAAAGGTTAATTAAGATATATGTGAAAATATCGGTTTATAATATAATTTTAATATTTTTAATAATAAATATTAATTATTTTATAAATTATGAACAGTTAAAAATTTCACAATTTTAATATCCTTAACAAAATTTATGTTAGCCATGATCATAGCGCAGCAACAGTTATGTTATTTACATTGTCATGAATGACCTCTGTTACATTGCAACGATTCGCCTCTTTTTCTAGAAAAGCGGTTCTGAAACTAATTCGCTCAATTCCGGGGGTTTTTTCCTCTGGCGGGTCAATTTCAAGAACTTAAGAGGGAAGTTACCCAAACTTGTGAGATAAGACATTAAGAAAGTCTTTTTTGTATCCACCATGCAAATGGGTTGTCTTAATTGAGAAAAAATGTTTACCCTATACTTTGTAACTAAAATACGATTTATAGATTGAAAAAATGTTCTGTAGTTAATGCAAACACTTAAACTTCCTGATTAGTAAAATCTTTATAAAATCACTAATAGACTCAATTAATTATAAGATTGAAATGTTTACAGTTCGTCTAAACAATTATAGCAAGAAAATTCATAATCATGAGTTTGGATTAAAATAAACCTTGATACCATTTGGTTAAACTATTCGAAAAGAACATTAGATTTTGATTAATCTAAAGTCAAATTGTATCAAATCCTATGAGTAAAATTTTTTTTAATGTCTATTTTTTTATTTATAAAATTAAAATTTAAGACTTTATTTAAAGAAAAATTAAGTTTATTCCACTCAAATTAATAAGAGTGATCTATTAATAGATTAATAAGTCGTTTAATGGCAATTCCATCTATCACTTTATTGTGAAACACCAGATTGGCCCGTTCCACCATAAGTACCCCCTATTTCGCTCAGTGGGATTCGACAATGAGTTTGAGTCAATGATTAGAAAACTTCATTTCCTCGATCTTGATTTGCATAGAAAGTCGGATTAGGAGCTATGTTCCTAGTTGAACTGGGGAAAACCGAATTCATACCGATGTTGTAGAATTTTTTAGCTTAGATACCATGACCGTAGGATTAAGTATCATATGAGCAGGCCCGACGAAACCCTTGTATAGCTTCTTCGATTTCTCGATAAAGAGAAATATGACCAACAATGGCTTGAATGTATATACAAAGAATTTCTTTTTTTAAACTTTTTACTATTAGATAGTGTCCATAAATATCTATTTAGTAATTATTATGAATATTATTAAATTTAAAAATCAAAATTTATTATAAAAGTTTACATTTATTAAAATTAATTTAACTATAATACTATTTACTAAATATATGAAAAATAAAAAAAATTCAAAACCAAAACTATACTCTACTAATAGAAACTTAAAAATTTAAATTTGAAGTTTGGAGTTCTATTCTTGAGATATACTCTACATCAATTATTAGATACTACAGATTTTTAATTGAAAATTCACAATTATCAATTATATATGAAAGTTGCATTAATTGAATTTGTTGATAAAATATATATCTCCTAAATATCTGCATTTTAGTATTCGGTGTGTCAATTTGAAGATGTATGTCAAATAAGACGATCTGCATTTTAGTGTTCAATGCGTCAGTTATTTGGAGTAATATTGTATTTTTTTTTATAATATCATATATATTTATTTATTTAATATCACATTATTATTATTGAAAATGTAACATTTTTAAACTGAAGTTAAATATTGAAAATGTAACATTAATTATAAATACTCACATCATTTTTTAAATGACTCTTTTAACATATGCTTGAGAGTATTTTTTTTTGCATTAAATGTACATAGATTAATGTAAAAGTTGATATTAATTTTAGTATAAGGTGAATTTAATTAAATAATTAATAAATTAAATGTTAATTTTTATTTTTAATATACATTAAAAAATGTAAAAGTTGATATTAATTTTAGTATAAGGTGAATTTAATTAAATAATTAATAAATTAAATGTTAATTTTTATTTT